TCGTCATGCTCTGACCTTAAAGAATAGTTTAAAACCACAATTAACCATCTGGTTTTTAAAACTTTAACATTGGAACAAAAACCTGCCTTTAAACTTGAAAGAAATAAAAATGTGACATTTATCGTGATAATTATCGATATCGACTGATATGAAAACAATTATCGTGATCATTTTTTTGGCCCAGCCCTAGATCACTGACAAGCTACACAAAACCGCGTTCATAAACGCAGACCGATTTAATCGCGCGATAATGAAATCGAAGATATGATGTGGCTTCTTACACAGAATAAGGCACGCAAAATATTTCATAGTATTCTAAGCAGTGAAAAAGGCTATGTTGATTAGCATTGCATTATTATATACTTTATTATAATAAGACGAAGTCGGATAAATCATATATTGGCCTAGTTGTGTGTTTATTAGTCACGTTGAATCAATGAAAGCAGTTAAATCTTCTGTTTATTCAGCAACCGCTATAGGGATTTCCTGGGTTTCTTCTTCACTGGCAGCAGATGTGACGTGAGTGACTTGACATTAGTAAAAATATTACATTCATTTGGATTGCATTTAGGGCTCCACGATTAATCGAATGTGATTGTCATGCGCATCTTGTCAGTAAAGCCAATCTCCATCATGTGCTTTCAGATGGAGCAGCATTTACTACACAGAGCCGTAGTTCACTGGCTGGGCGATAAAATCCACGCTATATAAATTTCCTCGATAAACGATAACAAGAGTTCGATATAATGTTTCTGCGGCAAAGGCTGAACGAAAGAGAACTTCTCATTTGGACTTTTTATCCATTCGGCTCAAAGTTCAAACAGCTAGAGTAGATGCGTTACTCGCTGATGCATCTCGGTCACGTGACCACTAAATCGCGCTGTGAGATCCAGTGTGAAGCGCTTGAATTCAGCGGAGAACACAAATGACTCTGTTTACAGCCAGATGATAAAGCACTGACAAACAGGAGAAACAGTGCGCAACGATACAGTCTTTCTAATCTACAAATCGCCATCAATTACTATAGATTTACTGTAGTACTACTAACTGCACCATGGTATTGTCAGAAATGTGGGATATTCGTGTCTAATTTTATTATATTATTAATGTAGACGTGTGTTAAATGTATTGAAGGAGGAGAAATGGAATATAATTACAGTATTTTTTTGTGATTAAGCTATAGCGTTTATGCGTTTATACTAAATGCATTTAGACTACTGTTTTTCATACACGTACATAGAAACCGTATTACATTTTTAACCATGGTATTCTCAAACAGTCAGAATAATTACATTTCTCCATATAAAAATGAGGTTGCTACAATTTTGTAACGTTATTACGGATTTTGATAATGAACATAAATCTACATCTGCATCCTAACTCAAGCTACTATCAAATGTGTATTTCTAAGAGACAAAAAAAATTATATTAATATGAGGCAACACAAACCTGTTTCTTGATTTGAAACAATATTACTCATTAGAACATGTAGAACTAATAAATGTTTTTCTTATTATTTATTTTGTTAAGGAAAAATGATTGGAAATGTGTAAAGAATTCAAAAACGTGAAGTGTGTCGTCATGCTCTGACCTTAAAGAATAGTTTAAAACCACAATTAACCATCTGGTTTTTAAAACTTTAACATTGGAACAAAAACCTGCCTTTAAACTTGAAAGAAATAAAAATGTGACTTTTATCGTGATAATTATCGATATTGACTGATATGAAAACAATTATCGTGATCATTTTTTTGGCCCAGCCCTAGATCACTGACAAGCTACACAAAACCGCGTTCATAAACGCAGACCGATTTAATCGCGCGATAATGAAATCGAAGATATGATGTGGCTTCTTACACAGAATAAGGCACGCAAAATATTTCATAGTATTCTAAGCAGTGAAAAAGGCTATGTTGATTAGCATTGCATTATTATATACTTTATTATAATAAGACTAAGTTGGATAAATCATATATTGTCCTTGTTGTGTGTTTATTAGTCACGTTGAATCAATGAAAGCAGTTAAATCTTCTGTTTATTCAGCAACCGCTATAGGGATTTCCTGGGTTTCTTCTACGGGGTGTATTTGGAGTTTCAGCGCGAGTGCGCCCTCTGGCCTTCGGATAGAGATTTACTACTGATCACAGAACCGTGCTTCCGTGATGAGATGCGCATGACTTATTGCAGCTTCTGCCTAATCGCGATTGCAATTTAATTTTGAAAAATCGTGCAGCCCTAATTGCATTCCTCAAAAGATGTTGTGAGGTGAAAGTTGGTCTTTTTATTTTAATGAAATTTATTTTTCTAATAGAATGGAATCTTCCAAGATGGCTCATTAGACAGCAACATATATTGTTTCTGAAAACTGCCTGCTGGGGCCCTTTGTTGGAGTGCCCTGTATGTCCGCGGGTTTCAGATGTGAGGACAAGAAGGGTTGGCACGTTCCTCTCTGTGGTGCCCACACAGAGTCCTCCAGAAAATTGTATAATCAACTGATTTTTGGAAGCACTCTTGAAGGGAAAGTACATCTTTCTGTTGCAGTGTATGCCACTGGTGCCTCTTTTTTTCAGACTTGGAAAAGGTAGGGGATATAGGGGATGTGTTTACTATATCACTGTATAGTAAATAATTGAATATAGCAATTAATATCACTACACAGGATTATGGAGAGAAATTAACTTGCTTTCCCAGAAGCCATACTGAAACAAAGAAATGTTTGTGATGAGATGCGCATGACTTATTGCAGCTTCTGCCTAATCGCGATTGCAATTTAATTTTGAAAAATCGTGCAGCCCTAATTGCATTCCTCAAAAGATTTTGTGATGTGAAAGTAGGTAGTTTTTTTTAATGACATTTATTTTTCTAATAGAATGGAATCTTCCAAGATGGCTCATCAGACAGCAACATATATTGTTTCTGAAAACTGCCTGCCTGCTGGAGCCCTTTGTTGGAGTGCCCTGTATGTCCGCGGGTTTCAGATGTGAGGACAAGAAGGGTTGGCACGTTCCTCTCTGTGGTGCCCACACCGAGTCCTCCAGAAAATTGTATAATCAACTGATTTTTGGAAGCACTCTTGAAGGGAAAGTACATCTTTCTGTTGCAGTGTATGCCACTGGTGCCTCTTTTTTTCAGACTTGGAAAAGGTAGGGGATATAGGGGATGTGTTTACTATATCACTGTATTGTAAATAATTGAATATAGCAATTAATATCACTACACAGGATTATGGAGAGAAATTAACTTGCTTTCCCAGAAGCCATACTGAAACAAAGAAATGTTGGCTTGTTGCAGAAGCTCAGTTGTCCTGACTTGAGGACTGACTCACCAGGTACTTAATACTGACTAACTATTTTATAGATATTACTGTCTGTGAAATAAATACATCGTAAAGTGGCGTATGGAATGTAAAAATCCCTGTAATGGCTGAGACAAACAAATCTCTCTTTTTTTTTTTTTTTTATTACGAATACGTGAGTTCCAGTATCATCGTGCTATATGCAATATGGTATTACCATGTACTATGATACTGTCAAGTATTTGTGAGGGTGTTAAAATAGTTTATTTTAAGTAATATTTAATATTAATAACCTTAATATTATCTTCAAAATCTTCCTTCATTTTATGGTTGCAGCTTTTATATTTATATATATATATATATATATATATATATATATGTATATGTATATGTGTGTGTGTGTGTACATTAGACAATAAAATAGTTAAGATGTACTAAGAATGAACAATGCTTTTAAAGCATTTGTAAATCTTGGCTCATTTAAATTTCTACATGCAAATTTATTTCATGATTAATTCAATATTTCAATAAGCATGACGAACACACATGAACTAACATTGAACAAAAGTATATACATGAACATTAACCAAAATTTGTGGCCATTTTAATTTGTGTTGTGCAGAAGAAATTCATACAGATTTGTCATGACATGAGGATGAGTAAATTTATGATTTTCATTTTTCATCCCTTTACGCCTAAAAATCCTAACACTCGGCTATAGGCTGCCATCTATAAAATCAGCTGTGCCATAACAATATTTACTTACACTTTTGATATTTCAAGTAATTTAAAAATTACTTAAGCAAAAGTATTAAATTAAATTTCTTTTGATATTTAATTATTTTTCTAATATAAAATCACCATAAAGATATCAGTAACACTTTGCAATAAAGTCCCATTAAGGTAATGTTAGTTAAGCACTAATTAAAATTCTGTAATGACAACTCTTGGAGGGATTGGCATGGTAATGTACATGACAATGTTAATGTGTTTGTTCTTGGCGGAATAGATCTGCTATGCTGCTGCTGCGGCAGAGCAAGTACTGAGACTTGCTACCGCCAATACTCCACAACATGCTGTGAGCATGTAAGAAATATTGCTGCTGCAAATATAACATACATGAAATAACCCCCATATAACGTACATAAATCACCTCGTAGCAGATCTATACAGGTGGAGCTGGGGAAGGTGGAGGGTTTCTGAAGCAAGCTGCAACTGCTACGGCAAGCACTAGTCATATATTTGAATGTTGAGCAGCGAGCTCATTGGCTACCGATACAGGAGAGAACCAATCAGCTGTGCCATGTGATAATGATGTCATTAGATCAGATTGAGTTGGACCTATCGGACTACACCATCTAGAGTTTCATGCCAGAACTCTGTATTTAACTAACAATGAGCGATACATTTGATACAATGTTTATTAACTTTTATAATTAGTTAAAAAACAACTGTTCATTTTGAGTTAATGCTAGCTGAGGTCCACTGAATAATATTAACAGATACAACTTTTGATTTTAGTGAAGTAGTACATGCTGTAATTAACATTAACTAAGATTAGTAAGTGCATTAGACATATTTTTCATGTTAGTTCGTGTAAACTAATGAAGTTTACTAGTGTTAACAAATGGAAGCTTATTTTCTTTACTTTTACAGTACTTAAGTATGACTGATGGTAAATACACTTAAAAATGCAACCAATATCTAAAGACGCTAAAAGACAGCTCATGAGTAATCTAAAATGTAATCAAAAGTAGACAGATAAAGTTAACAAAAACATGTTGTATTGCTACAATGTGTCATGTCATTTTTAATTAGGAATGAATTCCAATTCATGATCTAGATGGATTTTCCCCCACAAATACATATCACAGCCTCATTCAGTATAATGTGCATAAACTACAATGGAAAACCAACTCTGGCTGATCTGTTCTCTAATGAGTCATGCAGAAGAAGTCTTTCTGTACATCTCATGTACAGGCCTATAAGGGACATTCACTCATGGGAACCAAGCTTTGAACAGCATTATCAGAAACACAATTACTGTGGTTACATACAGAAAGTTAAAGATCACATCAACTATTGTTGCCACTCTGGTCCAGCTCAGGCATTTCCTCTCTTGTTGGTTTTGATGAGCAGCAGCAGCCTGAAGCTCCACGAGGATCTGCTTCAGAAGATCAAGAGCATACAGCCGCTCTTCATGCCTGTCTGTTTCTGAGTCTGGAGGGCTCTTAGTGTCCTTCACTGCATCTGTGAGAAGAATTATATTTAACTTAAAGGGGTCATATGATGTTGCTAAAAAGAACATTATTTTGTGTATTTGGTGTAATAAAATGTGTTTATGCGGTTTAAGGTTAAAAAAACACATTATTTTCCACATACTGTACATTATTGTTTCTCCTCTATGCCCCGCCTTTCTGATTTTTACAAAGCTCATCGGTCTGAAATGTGAGGTACACTCTGATTGGCCAGCTATCCAGTGCGTTGTGAAATGTTATGCCCCTACCATACTGTGATGGCGTGTCCCGGCCGGAGCGACGACACGAAAACATTAAAACCCATTATAAACGAGGCATTTGTTGCATCCAGTGGGGACATAATTATGGATTATGATTATTTATACTGTCTTTTTACGCGTTGCGTTGCATCGCGCCGCGTAAACATAAAACCATGTCTACATTTGTGATCAGAGAAATGACAAACAACAAGCGCTACTCTACACTGCTCAAAACTCGCGTTTGAATCATCAGTGGCAAATCCTTTAAATATGAAAACATACTTATAGTCTGTGAGTCAGAACAGCCGGCATTGTAGTCTACTCTCCCAGGATCAGGAAACAGTCCTCCATAAAATGTGCTGCACACATCTGAATATTTGGTTTGAACTGTTCTGGAACAGTGTTGTAAATACAACTTAACCACTGATTTCTAGTCGTGTCCTCTTTTGGAAGACCAAACAAAGTAGTTTTTCTTTCACAACGAAAACACACAGCGTCACACACAGCGGATTCGACGAAGGAGCGTCCGGAGGGCTTGCGGCAACCACATGTGACGACCCCAGGCTGGACTTTTGGAAGGCCAAACGAAGTAGTTTAGCTTTCATAACGAAACACACAGTGTCTCCACGACATGGTGGCGGCGGCGGCAACAACAATACTACAGCGAGAATAAAAGTTACGCCTTCTTTCTTTGTGTGAACATTTGGGCGGCGTTATGCAAATCTTCCCACATTCATCTGAAAGGTTATGAAATTAATCTATGACTTAATTAATAGGCCCATATTTAATAGCCCATATTTTAAGTGAAGATATGTCATAATAGCAACACTACAAATGCAATTTTAATGATTTTACACAATAACATAGGTTTTAATGAAAGGCGAAGATGTCTGAAATGTACATCTAATTCATTGAGATATTAAATAAAAAGTTATGTGTTTAAAAATACTGACAACATACCACTTGGGGTTTCTATGGCAATTCTGGGTGGCCCATCTTACCCCGAGGCTCTAATTTTATTTGTTTTACTTCCAAATAAAAATTATAACTTTTACTCCACACATCCAAAAACAAATAAACAGTGTCATAGATCACGATTTTCCAGATATGCAAAATTAGATCGATTAACCTCAAAACTGTTACGAATAACTAAATCTCACAAACGTTGATATTCAGATGAAATTACAAAAAAAATTCAAATGAGTACAGCAGAAAAACTCTCACCAATCAGAGGAATATCACTGGCAGTAGAGGGCAGCATGTCTTGGAGAAGCAGCAGTAACACAGAAATAGACAGAAGCAGAGTTACTTTAAATCCCAGCTTCTCTCCTCCAGCTGAATCGATGAAGAAGGAGGCCAAATCCAGAATAAGGAAGTAAAATACTGGCATTAGGAAGTTAATGACATACAGTAGAGGTCTCCTCTTCACGGTGATCTGCAAGTAAGAACAGAATAAATAATTTTTGATAGTTTTTACATATATTAATTACAATATATTTTTAAATGTGTCATTCATGTTTTAAAAGTGTCATTCATGTAAAACACTAAATTAACTATTCAAATTATTATTATTATTACTACTACTTAGTTGAATAATTGAATAACCGATAACAGACTAAGCAGAATCCAAGTAAAAGAGATTCATCTGAAAGGTTATGAAATTAATCTATGACTTAATTAATAGGCCCATATTTAATAGCCCATATTTTAAGTGAAGATATGTCATAATAGCAACACTACAAATGCAATTTTAATGATTTTACACAATAACATAGGTTTTAATGAAAGGCGAAGATGTCTGAAATGTACATCTAATTCATTGAGATTTTCCAGATATGCTAAATTAGATCGATTAACCTCAAAACTGTTACGAATGACTAAATCTCACAAACGTTGATATTCAGATGAAATTACAAAAAAAATTCAAATGAGTACAGCAGAAAAATTCTCACCAATCAGAGGAATATCACTGGCAGTAGAGGGCAGCATGTCTTGGAGAAGCAGCAGTAACACAGAAATAGACAGAAGCAGAGTTACTTTAAATCCCAGCTTCTCTCCTCCAGCTGAATCGATGAAGAAGGAGGCCAAATCCAGAATAAGGAAGTAAAATACTGGCATTAGGAAGTTAATGACATACAGTAGAGGTCTCCTCTTCACGGTGATCTGCAAGTAAGAACAGAAACCTCTATAAATACTTGGTCAGAGCAGCTTTTGACAGGGGTCACAATGTCTGATCCCAGTATCTCAGCTGTAAGGTTGTGCATCAAATGTGTGATTACCGAAAAGCTTGTTTTCTCTGTAAGTGGTTTTCATATTTAGCGAATAGCCATTGGATGAACACAAAATTACACTGAGACAACAACAACTACACAGTGAAGGGAATTCTGAACTGAAAGCTACACTGTACAGTACTTTTTATGGAAATAATACACTTTAAATGAATCTACTTAGGTGTGAAATGAATGCAATGTTTTCTGACAATAAACTGCATGTTATTTGCCTTACACTTTCATGATATTATCCGAGACTTACAAGTGAAGTGCACAAATCACATTAATGGCAGGACTTTCATAACTATACATTAGGGCTGTGCAATATATCGAAATATCGCAAATGTACATATCGCAATATGCATATCGCTACGGCTTGCAATATTTGGGGCCATGAACAAAAGACAAAGAGAAAATCACTCACTGCTCTTACCTAAATAAGTTTTGTAGCTTAAATAAGAACCAGTGCATATTGGATTCACAGAGTAAATACTAAGCAGTGTTGTATTTTTCCTTTTTATTAATCAGTTCCTAAACTCATGTTAAAATTATTACACTAATGTTAAAATTACATTATGTAATGCTAGAGTAGAACACTATCGTTCACTTTCAGAAGTTGTTGTAGGGGTGCTTTCTTCTCATAAAAAGTGAAACATGTATGCTAGTTATATTAGAATCAGAATCAGAATGAGCTTTATTCACCACTTAAGTGTGCGCAAACACAAGGAATTTGTTGTGGTTTTACAGGAGCTCTTGATTCATACATACAAATAACCATATATACAGTATATGACACAAGATAGTTATAGAAGTTCACAGAACTGACTCAGCAACAGCTGAGTAAAACTGTTTCATCTGAGCATGTGGCACTTTAAGCATTATCGTATCGCATATCGAATATCGCATTATTTAATGAGTTATCGCACATTGCATTTTTCTTCAATATCGCACAGCCCTACTATACATGAAAGCTCCTGTCATCAAGTCAAATTCCTGGATGGATGTGATGTGGTGTGTTGTTATCTTTCTGCTCTGTACCTTATATATCAGCTGATCCTGTGTTTCTCCTAGAGTAGTGACATTGGCTTTAGACGTATTTATACTAAGGAGTTCCCACTCTCCTTGAGTCTGAAAGGCCTTCTTGGAGCTGAGGGTCAGGAATGAAGCGTCAGAGAACGGGCTGATTACGAGCTCCTTGCCTGAGATAGCATGAGACAAATGACCAATATATATTACAATAACTTAACGTCAAAACTCCAGCAGGTGAAATAGGATCTTTAAAAGTCATGTTTGCCAACATCAGGGTTGTGCACCAATATTTAGTCCAAACTGAAGAGGTTTTTGATCTTTTGAATATTCCTCTTCCTGTCACTCAAATTTAAATGCAAATACCACATCTTGTGGGTGTGACTAATTCAATTTCACTTTCATGAACTGAGTTCTTCAGTTTTGAATTCTGACCAACTCTGATCGACATTGTTTTCTGAGTTTCAAATGTACTTGAATGGATCGGAGACTGAAAGGTAAAAGTGCAGCTTTGGACGTCGAAGGGAAACTGGTGCAGGTTCATCTTGCAGGCCGTGGTCACAGCAAAAGTGTTAGACGTCACAACAGCGCCTTGATTCTGCAACTGCACATACTGATTCTCCATTGTTGCGAACTCAGTCTTGATGCTAAATAGACAAAACAAAGCAAAAGTAAACTTTAAAGGGACAGTATACCCAAAAAATTTTAATTTATAATTTACTCATCCTAATGTCACTCAAAACTCATAAGACTTGGATTAATTTTCGAAACAAATGAATATATTTCCAATGAAACCACAGAGATTTCTGTCCCTCCACTGAAAGTCTATTGCACCAAAATTTTACGCTTCAAAAAGTTTATAAAGAAATTGTAAAAGAAATCCATATGAAGCAAGCAGTTCAGAGTCTTTTGAAAAAAAACATGATCCCACAAAACAATCTGTGCAGAAATGCGCCGCTCAAACTGTTAAGATTAGACAAATATGATCAGGGATTTTGTTAAAAGCAGACTAGCAGATCTTTCCAAATATTGTGATCTGCAGAGCAGTAGGTGCTACACACAGCCAGAGTTCATGAACACTGAATAGGCACTGCTGATGTGTAATTGCGGGCAGTTGTCAATATTTAGGGATTATGATGTCAGAAATCTTATTGCATCGTCTTCTTGTGAGAGTAAAATAATCTGTTTGGACTGGGAAGATTTTTTGAGTGTTTTCGTAATACAATAAACTATGTTAACACAAAAGACCAAGGAATTCCTCATGATATGACCCTTTTAAATTTCTACGTTTTCTACCCAAGTTTCAACCCAAAATATCTACAAGTAACAATCCATAAAAGGTCAATATCACCATAGAGTGCCTTTCAACACTCACAATACTCAAAAATGTTGTTTTTAATTTCCCATTCGCTTTATGTCATGTCATAAATAGTAGACACTTAAGTACTATAGAAACATATTAGCCAAGCTCCCACATGTTTTTTTTTTTTTAGATAATTATGGGCCATTATTCGAAGCATAAACCATAAGATATGTCCACCTTGTCATGGACATATATATAACTGTTAAATACGTTTTCATTGCAAAATTAAGATGCAAATTAAATTTTCTGAAAGGTATGATGTCCCTTTCCTAAAGAGGGTTATTTGTTTGCTTTCAAATTATAAATACATAAACGATTTTATGTAAAACATGTGTTTTTAAAGAAACGCATTGGCACATGTATTTTTTCTTATTTGGAGAAAACTGATATTTGGATGCAGTTTTTTGTTTGCATGTTATTGCCCCCACACCTAGCTATTGAACACACTGGATTATATAGATATGATTGAATTATTATTTAAAATATTATTGTAAAATATCAAAATGACAGGGTGGACCAGCACATGATGGGGTGGACACGTAAAGCAGAACACACAAAGCATGACAAAATATGACAAACATTTATTCAATTTCGAACACCCCCCCCCCCACCCCCCAA